TCCCTGACTGTAAATGATCTAGTAATACTTCATTACAATGTTGCCACTGACTTCTAGTGCCAGTTAATTTAACCATAGGTGTAACTTAATCCAAACCTTGCGTAGCATGTAATCTGTATTAAAAACAGAAATTGCCCTCTCTAGTGACTATTTCAAATTGCCTTGGATGGGGGGAGGGAATATCTATGTTTACTAGTGCCTTTTTTTTTTTTTTTTAAGGGAAGATAAACTAGAAAAGGAAATTGAAAGGCTTGAAAGATATGCAGGCTCACCTAGACAGAGAAGCTAATTTGTGTTATAGTGGAATATGAATTTAAATGTAAATCTTCCTGATTAACCCCTGATGAGATAGCAACTCATTTTTCCTGAACAGACTTCGTGCAGGAGAATTTGTTCAGAAAATTAATTCCAGGCAATCAATCAGGAAGAGCCACTCTGGAGTAACATCCTATGGCAAAATCCCTGGGACTGCTTGTTCAAACGCTTTCAGTCTGTACATTCAAGTTCTCTTCTATGCCTACATCATGTAGGCTGTCGTCTACATCAGTTGCTCAGCTCCACTGGACTCTGCTCCCCAAATCTACTGGTGAAGCATCAAAAGTGTGATGGAGGTTAGTTACCCTGTGCAGAGGGTCACACTAACTTTTTCACCCAACAGTATTGCCTTTATAGTTCATATGCACATATGGTAACACTATTCCTAGAAGACACTCAAGTAAAAGAACTAACCACTCTCTCACATGTGAATGAGATTCAGTCAACACATCAGTGAGATAAATTGTGTAATTCCTAACATACTGAGCAGGGATTGCTCCTGTCCAGCAAATGGACTTTGGCCCATGACATAAATCAGTGCAAGCAGTAAAAACCCTGGAAAGTCTTGGCCTCTCTGGAAGAAACGGATTTAATCTGGTCTTCAGACATTTGGGTGAGGAAAATTCAACATATAAAGCTGTTCAGAGAAGGCAATAAACCACTTGTATTATGTCATGTACTGAAAACAACATCTGATAGTCAGTTAATTGTGCATAGAACAAGTGAAATCAGGCAGGTTTGATTCCTGTCAGCTGCCTTATAAATCCTCAAGTCCTACTACTTGCTCCTCTTATAGGTCTCCAAAAATAAGTTTATCAGTTTTCAATTAATATTATGCACATTTCCGCTCAGAAATCTTGTAGGATTTCACAGCTTGTTCAGGTAGGCTCCAAGCCATATGCTTTACAGCAGAAGAAAATAGCTCATCAGCTAAAGGATAATGACATAAACAATTTTTCATATTACACTTTTGCTACTACCCAACATACAGATTAATTTAGATTTATTTTTTTTTTTACTATAAATCTATTTACAATAAACAAAAATAAGTAGTTTTGTGTCTGGGACACTAAAGAGGTGAACATAAATGTTCCATAACACATGGAATTTTGTGGAAACTATTACAGGATAGAATAAAAATCTATATATGAGTGGAGTCTTGCCAAGGCACTTTAGTCCCCCAAGTGGACAGGTTGAGTAGAGGGGCAGGATCACTTCGCTTGACCTGCTGGCAATGCTCCTCCTAATGTATTCCAGGATTCCATTGCCACCCTTGGCCACAATGGCGCACTGATGGATCATGGACACCTTGTTGTCTACCAGCAGGTCAGTCCCCAGCCCGTAGCAGTGCCCAAGGTTGTTCCTCCTCAGGTGCAGGACCCTGCATTTGCCTTTGCTGAATTTCAGAAGGTAAGGACATGGTCACTTTTAGGTCACTGTGCCTGGTGAGCACTGTATGGTAGGAGTAGCAGCACCCTGACTCATGGCATTACATTGTCATAACATACTGAAGAAAGGTTCCATTATATCTTAGGGATGTGCTGAAAAAAATTTTCTATTATATTACTAAACACAAGCAGTGTTGTTACCTTCCTAGTACTACTCATTAAATCTTAGCTTTACCAGTGCCATCTCAGTATTATCCTGCCTCCGCCCTGACTGCCTTGGTTTTGGATTTGTACTAACTAAAACCTCAGTAAACTGCATTGCATAATAATGCTTGCTAACAATTATTTCCAACATACATAAAAATACATATACAGGCTTGAAACTCCATGGTGTTACCTTTTAAGCTTTGTGATATCCCTCCACTTTCCTGTCTACTGTCTGCGAGAGAAAGGCAGGCACAGGAGCAGATATTTTTATGAAGAATTTATTTCCCAGAGATACTTTTGCCAGTTTCCCTCCTAAACATCTGAAAATGGATTCAGTTTCTATAAAATACCAGCTTTCCCAACAGTGAAAATACATTAGGCTGATACTGCCCACAATACTGCAGAGCAGGCTCAGCAGGCACTTTATCACATGAGACACATTGGCAAAGCTCTGGTTTTAAAAATCAGTTAAAACCTGATGGCAATCTGTATCTCTCAATTTATGCTAAAAAGACCTCATATACTACAGAACTACTTGACCCATCCCTGCAAAATTATGCACACTGAGCAGTACAGATTGCGTTTAAACCCTTTTTTTAAAGGTCAGGATCTGGGAACACTACATATTCAATGATGTGGATATAGCGATTGTTTCATACCATTACACCTCCAAGAATGGATTGGAAGAGTCAAGGAGTCATTTTATTTCTTTTTAAAAGACCAGAAGATACAGCCAAAGAGAAGAGATTCTTCTCCTTTTTTTTTTTTTTTTTTAATCTGTTGAATACTGCAAAGAAAATATAACCCTTAATGTAAGTGTATTAATAGGACATCCCCAAGCCTTGATCAGGGAATAAATTTGTTGCTTCATCCACCCGGTGTGTTGGATGTTTTTCACCAAAACTACATTTATCTTCAAGCATCTCATATCTACACCAGAGAGAAGCCATGAAAAGAAGAGGCCTCTTTGCAGAGATTTGGAAGTTAAACCAGAATAACAGAAGATGGAAGTGGAAGTAAGAGGTAATAGTTGCATGAGATTTTTGCCAAAACCAAAAGCAGCAAATCTGGTGGGATCTTTCATGGAGACAGACAAGTTCCAGTATGATATTATTATTAAGTTAGCATTAATAACAATTAATGTAACCACTTCCAATAAAAACACATTATTATAATCCACAGGATCAAGACCAATTCAGAGACAGAACAGCACGCTAAAAAAATCCCTTACAATTGCTTTTAATTGGTTAAATTAATCAACTCTGATATAGGTAGACAATGTGTTTGTTATTGTTACAAAGATACAATACATATCTCTAACCAGTAATAAGACAAGTTGGAAAACCTATTATGTTACAGCAACAAATGAGAGGACTACATTTTGAATGAAAATTTAGACATTTTTATGAATTCCCTACTACTAGTACATCAGTTACAAGTTGATGTGTAGCAACTAGATTTAAATTCCAAAAAGAAAAGTGTAGGTAGCAGGACAATTGGTTTGTGAACACATTAACTTAGAAAGGGAAAAGGTAGCTCAGTGTTCAGCTCCATGGGGACAACACTGTCGAGCACACGCATTAGCAGAGTGTCTGGTTCTCAGTAGCATAAGCAGCCTCAGCAGTGAAGAATCTCTTGGTCTCTGCACAGAGCATTTGAATCACTCCCTTGGATTTGGGTATCTAGATTCTGCCTAAGTTTTACTTTAGGCATCTAAGTGCTTTTTTGGATCTCACTCTAAATTCTTACATAGCATAGAACCTTTTCCAAAAACTCCATTAATTTCCCCAGCAATTACCAGAAAACTATGAGATTATTTCACTAAACAACAAAGAAAGAATTAAATTGTTTTTCTGGTTTTAAATGAACTATGAAAGAAAACACATCTGCAAAGTAAACTTAAAATACTGGTTTGAGTGCTTAAACCACTTTACAATAAAATATACATGTAGTGACTTCTGAGACCCTACTGCTGCAGATCATAGAATCTATTGCTTAATTGCTGTCAATAAATGTATAAATACACCTAATTAACTAATCATTATGCACACACCTTGCTTGTCAACCCCAAGAAACACAAACACTGTACAAATTCTTTGCAATGTCCTCCACACTACTGGGAGATTACTCAGCATCTGCATGAAAACACACTCCTGCAAGAGAACACAGGATTAAATAAATACTGCATGATCTAGAAACAGTAGGACATCTAATCCAGGCAAGTATAATGACTTTGCTGTGTTTTCTTGGGAAAGACAAATACTCTCTTTCTTCCTTCCAGAACCCTAAGGTGGAGATAACCAGTATCATTTCACAGGGCTGGTGTCATAAAATGAACTGAAAATAATGAGGATAGCTTGCTAATTTTAAATAAACTTGCATGTTGGAATGAGAAAGAATCCATACCCTTAGGGTTTATTCAGGCCATTCTCCCCTTCTCTTTACCATGTAAAATAAGAAAACTCTAAAGGTTTTCAACTCATCACCCTTACAGGAAGTATCTTTTATTCCTCCTGGCAGACTTTTAGTATTCAGGCTGAAAGATGTGGGTTCTACTTTCATCTTCTTTTGATTTATATAATGATCCTGTTTGTTTTTATGAGCTCAGTATACTGTCAACAACAACGGGACTCTCAGCTGGGCTTTGTGGATGCTGATGCTGAGTTGCAATTGAATTTATACAGCTCTGAAGTTTGTCTGAACCACAACCTTCAGATTCATGACCAAACTTAGGATGGAATAAGGCCCATGGTTCTGTCCCAGGGCCATTCTTCTTCTACATGGTTGTTTAACTACCCTGACACTCCAAGGATAATGTCCCATAAGAGGGATGGAGATTTCTTCTCTCAACAACAGAAAACTTGCACTACTACAAGAGGTATGCCCCTTGGAGATGAAAAAGGATGGCTATATAGGAAATATAGCTGATGTTTCTGATCTTTCCAAGAAAACAACAGAGGCAGCTGAGCATGTCAGTTCTCTAACCACAAAATTAAATTTCAATGTTAGCATTTTGCATCAGTATTTTAACTAAAAGGATGCATAAAAGGTAAACTTGGAAGACAAAATAAAATTAAGGTAACACGCAAGATCTGTAAAAAGGGTCCTCTAGGGGAAAAATATCCATTCAGTCTTTATCTGAGAAAACATCTGGGAAAAAAAATATCAAAAAAAACCCACAAATCAGGGAAGTGCACGAAGCAAATCTTGCAAACATACAGTATTCAGGTACAGACCTCCACCAATACAGCCAAAACTAATGGCTAACATAGCTAAACTGCTGCTTGTATTAAATTTAATAAAAGACTTTTGAAGACCCCCTCAGAACACCTAAGGTCTCACCAGGAGATTATGAGCATTCTAAATAAAATTGCCATGGTAATTTAACCTATTGATAAAATCATTGCAAACTTCACTTTGATGATATTAATTGCTGTGGCTACATTTACTAATGGAGGAACTCAAAATACTTTTCAAGATCAGAGGCAATATCAACAAAGGGCATTCTATGCTCTTCCAGATTGCGACATCTGAATACAAAAAAGTTCTTTTCTTATTCTTTTGCTGAAAAATGTTTCAAGTACAAGTCCAACCCATATATATCTTTCTCTAAGTTAGGGGTTACCTCCCACTGATTTCAATAGCCCCAAGAGATGCACCCTCAAAAAGTTTCAATTATTATAGGATGCTCATGTTCATATAAAACCAAAGCTTTTGTCTCCATTGCACATCCAGCTTTGCCATACCTCTAACATGCTGTGCTTACTCGTAGCTTCCAAAATGTATTACCTTTTAAGATGAAGGGTAAGGGGGAAGCAGAGGAACAGGGAAGGCAAGGCTAAATTCAGGCCATAAAACCACACCACATTTTCAGCAAGTAGCTGACCTGCTATAATTTCAAACTTTCTTTGGATTCCCTAATAAAAAAATTCCCAAGACTGTTATGTGTATGGTGATAGCAAATTTTCCTTTTTTTTTTTTCAAACAATTATTTGGAAACGGCACAAACTGATCCTTTGGAGAGATAGTGCTTTTATCTACAGGAACTTTGTAAACAAATTGATCCAGATGTTTTGCTTTAGAACTCTCCAGACATAGTAAATTGTTCCTTACTACATCAACACTTCATTTCCTCTATTTGCAGTGAACATCTCAAAACAGAACACTTTTCAAAAGACAAATAATTGAAATGTTGTATCAGCATTAACAAGATCATTTGGACACTTTCTAAAATAAAGTCTGTCTTCTATATATGGATGCATTTGGTTACATATAATAGTTTCCAGAAAGGATCAAGATCGAATATATTAAGAATGTATTTGCATCCTTTTCTTAAGCCACTGAAAATTTATCAAAGAAATCCTAAAAATTTAATTTTTCCTTTCCATTGTTACATGCTTTGTCACATTTATCCTTAATAAACCCCTAGACATGTGGAATGGTAATGGATTCCAAAGTCTGAGTAAAAACTAAGACAACAACTAATCTATCCCATTAAAATGAAACTAAAGTGAAGCAAAGTAAGAAAGAGAGGAAATAGGCATATGGACTAGGTAAAAGATATTTAAGAATATTTGACAATATAGGCACATATACATTCAAAGATTAATGGAGAAGAAAGAAGCCTGGTCCCTGAGTTTCTTAATGGCATGCCCAGTAGACGATTTATCAGAAATGCATATGTAGATTTCATTTTATTTAAATTTTTTGAAACGAGCGGTAAAAACTGTTAATTTACTTTAAAGATCTAAGGGGCTTTCAAAAATAAGAACAAGACAAATATATTACCTGTAAAATGAGCACCATTAAATATATCCAAAATCAATATACTGTATCAAAACATATTTTAGCTGACTTCCCCAACTATCTTTAGATTTTTTTCTTGCATTTTAAAATGTGACCAGTTTCTCCATAGCATTGAAATAATCTTTCCTATTAACATGCTTTCTGAAGAGCTCATGCTGTCAAATACAGCAACCAGATTTCCATCCTATGCTTCCTAAATCAGAATTTTTGCTTGAAAATGAAATCATTGGTAGTTTTCCAGTTGCTGTAAGGACAGCGGGATCAACTGAGTGCACAGCAACAGATTACAAAGCAGGTGGCTTGAGGCTAAATCTAAACAGTTTCCTCACATAGCTTTGTAAAGTGGGGTGCAGATAACTCCTAATGAGTGTTAAGGGCTGTCTAGTCACTTAGTTGTATACAAGGTCTAGACAGGTCAAGGTCTAAGGATCAGAGCTTCTAATTAAATTCTATTAAATACTCGTTAGTTGTAAAAGATGTCACCAGAAGACCCATCAGAGCTATAGTGTCTAATTATTAAATAGTAGTGCCCTCATAAGACCCTCAGGACTTAAAAAACTATGATAAGATACTGAAAAAGAAAAAGAGACAGCCAAAAAAGAGGTGAATCTGAGGACACAGTTGAAAATTGAGGTCATTGTTCTATATCACATTCCCCATGTAAAAGAGGAATTTGAAACTCATCGTCTATTGAGTCAGTCGGTATTTGGCAGCATCATTTCTAATGTTGAGTTAAACCATTTAGGAGGCAGATTCAGAGAGCCTTTCATTGCAAAATGAGCAAATAATGAAATACATTCATTTCATAACCTGTATTTGTTACAAACACAACTCAAGGAGCTGTTGCTCATTCTCTAAAAGCTAATAAAAGGGAGAAAATAATATGACTAAACCAACATAGTTTTTTTATTTACTTTAAATAAAAGCCTCATATAAAATCTCTTGTGGTTTGGTGATACTGTGCTGTTGCTGACTAGCAGGGCAGGATTTGGCGATGCAACTCCACAAAAACTGTTGTTATACTCTTTTTCTCCCAGTGCTCACATTGGGAGGACACACCAAGTCAGACAGCTAAAAGGGGAGAGCACCTGTTAGGCATGAATTCTGCAATGACATGTTTTCAAACAGCAACAGCCCAAGTGGGTAGTAAATAAATAACAGGCTCGAGCTTTGGCTAGTGAAGAGCCACCCACATGCACACAGCCAAGAACACTCATAAGTAAAGGTAACCCTCGAGTCTCAGGACAAGGAATGCTGGTAGGCAGTGCCAAGGACTGATCTTGCTCATCTGGGAGGATGATCTCAGGAGACAGAAATATGGTCCCCAGGGTCAGGAAACAAATTCCTGAGGATCCTTTTAAAGGCAGCACAGCAGTGCTGGAATAACTCCAAAGCACTCTGACATTTCCCTTCTTTTCTTTCTTTCTTTCTATTCGAGCACCCAGAAACATGACATTGTTCAGAGCTCCTGGACCTATGAAACATTCTGGAAAATAAAAGACTCCAGGTTTTGTCATGACCTCTGCTGCTTCTCAGCCTCCTGACAGCCCTTGAATTACCTGGACTGCAGCCTTCCTTGCAATATCTTGGCTCTGCTGTTCCCTGTCTGCCTGGAACCAATTAATGCATTAGCACAGAGAAAAAAAAAAAAAATGAAAAAGGAATTAATCATCCTTCTCTGAACGTCAAAAGATTCAAGTTTTGGACAGGCCTTTATGGAGACGGGGTAAGATCTGAACTGAATTACCTTCCTAGCTGAAAAGGAGAAATAACAAAAAAGTCTCGGTCTTTATTTCCCTTCTTACCAGCTGATATCTAAGTTGTGGGGTTGCATTTATCAGGCTTTCTTCCCTTATAGAGAACCTCTGTCCTCTATAGCACCCCAGTAGAAGCTAAAAGGGGCACCACCTTCTACTAACACTCTTTCCTCTTCTCTCCCAGGACTCAGACTATCCATTACAAGGTGGCAAGAACCACTTTGTCATCTCATCTTTTGCTGAATCTTTTTAGCCTCAAGCCACAACATATCAGTGCCAACAGGGACACACAATTTTTTTTTATTTCACTCGTAAATGGAATACCTTCCTTCCATCACCCAGGTGAACCTCAGAACCTCACAAACCTCTACAGTTCCCTATAATCCTATCTATCTAGAAAAGCCCCCTTTAGTACAATTCCCTTCTCCTGACACAGTTAACCTGCTCACTCACATCTCTCAAATGCAATAGAGCGCTTCATCCTCCCTGGGACTCACAACCGCTCCTCCTGCCCTAACAACCCTCCACCAACCCCTTCCACAGACTCAGGGCATCCCTAAGCATATACTGGATATCTGAGGTTACCCTCACTCCTGACAAGCCTCTGTCTTCTCCTCCTCCTCCCTTCTATTTTTGGTCCTTGATAAGAAGAAACGGAGGCTGCAAGGAAAGCCTATAATAGCAACTCACATCAGCAGTGCACCAAACACTGGCTATTAGTAGATGCTCCTCAGGGCCTGCATCATTTAATAAACTCACTCCATATCCATGGCAAGCAGAAAGCAACATGGGCACAGCAGGATGGGGTTTAATCCCAAATGGTGCCAGGAAAATGTAGCTGAGTCTTGAGCAGCTTAGCCACTCTCCAGGCCTCCATGCCCTGCAATCCCAGAAACTAACAGAAGGCACTGATCACAGTTACACCTTCTTTTCATTTTTTATCCCTTTACCAGATTTTCATTTCTATCCCAAAATACTCATGTATTCCTTTTTTTACCCTTAAAAACAAGGGTAAAACAAGAGCTGGCTTTTAAAAATGTCAATTAACCAAGAACAGAGGGGAAATGACACATCAGGAGTAAAATGGAGCACTCAATTCTCTGGCTCGCTAATTAGGATTTATGTACTGGAAAAATCTAATGCCTGGCACCGGTGAGTTAATAAAGAAATGAAAAAATGTCTGGAAAATTGGAAAAACTGGTATAATTGTCTAAAAAAACTAGCACATCTGGTCATTTCCCCACACATTGTTATTAGCACCACAATTATTTCAGCAGGAGGCAAGCTGGGAAGAAGTAATACAAGACCAATGAAGAAAAGCAGTAGCAGGAAAACCTACCATTCAGGCACTGATTCCTGAGAGAAAGCAGACTTGCCACTAAATAGAAAAGTCTACTTTAACATGAATTGCTTTAAACTGTGATTTATAGTGTTTAGACTCGAGATAATTATTTCCACTAGGATTATCACAACTGCAAAATTACCCAGTTCTTTCTGTGTAGTCATTTACACTGCTACACGAATTGCTAATATTCTGACATTTACCTGGTTCTTCCAGTGGTAGGAAGGGAAATATGAGGTACAAAA